GGGAAAGAGCTAACCCCCCTCCTTACCCAATCCCATAGCCTCAGTCTAGTTTTTCTGTTCTGTCCCACACATACACTTGCTTTTTAGGGCCCAGTAATATACCTGGAATTTACATCATGGAACTGCAGCATTGCATGTTCTTTTGCTTTTAGACATGGGGATAGGTGTCTGTCGACAGAATACAGGAGTGGAGTGAACTTGATTTGATCCAGAAAACAAGACCAGCCAAGGAGTATTGGTCCCCTAGGTGAACAAGAACTAGTTCTACTCCCCCCCCCCCATTCAACAGAGAGAAAATGTGTGTGTATCTGTATCTATATAGAGAGAAATTAACTTCCATCTAACTTGGCATCCCTTAATGGCAGGCACCCTGGGCAACTGCCTAGTTCACCTATATAGTTGGGCTGGCCCTGCCAGAAAAGCAGTTCTCCCACTCTCATTCATTCATTCATTCATTCATTCATTCATTCATTCATTCATTCACATTTATAGCCCGTCCTTCCTGGAAGCGGGCTGAGGGCAGGTAACAACATTTCATTTATAAACACACCGGCTAGCCCTAAATGGGAAGGCCTCGCTTGCAGTAGGCTGACAAATACAAGTTATTCGCCTGTTGGTAGGGTTGCCAACCTCCAGGTGGTGGCTGGAGACCTCCCGCTATTACAGCTGATCTCCAGGTGACAGAGATCTGTTCACCTGGAGAAAACGGCCACTTTGGAAGGTGGACTGTGTGGCATTATACCCCACTGAAGTCCCTCCCCTCCCCAAACCCCACCTTAAGTCAGGCTCCATCCCCAAGATCTCCAGGTATTTCCCAACCCAGAGCTGGCAATCCTACCTGTTGGGATTATTCTTTCTGTGTACTGCTGACATTGTCATTATTGAGTACAGTGTCGCTCACTCGGTGAGAGAGAAAAGCCCGACACTGGTAGATAAGCGAGAATCTTGTAGGCATCTGTCCATTGAATTGATAGTCACATGGCATTTTCTTGAGCGGCATCCAGATAAGACAGAACAACATAATTGGTCCGGCCTATGAGTGTTCTTCATGCACACACTAGAGGGACAGAGTGGTAGGTTAGCCAGTGGGTGGAACAGTTCTCCACTTGACAGACCTGTGCCCTCCATCTTCCTCTTGCTCTGCTTGCAGATTCAGTCCCCGGTAGACTCTGCCACCATGTCACCAGTGGAAAGGACAGCCGCCTGGGTCCTCAACAACGGGCAATATGAAGAAGATGCTGACCAAGATGAAGTCAAGCATGCAGAAAAGGTAACAGCCCCCTGCTATGAATTGGCCTGAGCAGCTGCTATGATTTTCAGCACACACCCCAGGGGCAGACTGGCCACATAAGTAAATGGGAAGATTCCTGGTCAGCCGCTGTCCTGGAGGGCTGCCTCTCCCTGAACACCTAGGACCTCCATTAGGCCGCGCCCCCTTCCTTCCCCCATGGATGCCCTACAGCTGTGCTGCCTCATTCCACCTGCAGCAGCAACTACCAGCCCCATTGCACCCCAGCAAGCCCAAGCAGCAGTGCTGTGGTAAAGCCAGGCACCGTGGCTACTATACTTCCCAGAGAGGATCCTTAGATCTTAGAAACGATTATCTCCAGAAAAGATTATCTGCAGGTACAGGAAACCGAGAGAAAGAAGCGGTGTTCTGTAGTTTGAGTCTAATGATTTCACAACCCTGGCAGAAGCAATCTAAGGTCCTGGAATCCCAAGACGAATGTATCAGGGCCCACAACGCCCATGTGTCAACCATTCGTGCTGCCCTCGACTGCTGCAGACAGGCTTCTGAGAATCTGCTAGATGTGAGTCCATCCCCTTGTCCAGTGTGAGCAAGATGAGGGGAGTTTGGAGCACAAAAGCCAGCCCGGCCCAGTCTGCTGGGTTGTCTTCATGACCGTGTCCCATCTTTTATGTTGGTGGTTCTCAAACTTTTTGTAATGGGTCCCACTTTTGAACTTTATTTTGGGGGGGCTGACTTGTAAAGTCCATAGGCCTTTCACCATACATGGCATAAAACACAAGGATTTCACGCCAGCTAATATTGAACGAGTTACTTTTTAAATTTTTCATTCTTATTGTTTTAATGTGTAAGCGACAGGCTGCCTTTCATGGCCATTTTGCACATAACAAAGAGGCAAACCCAAGTTTGCCATCCAGGTTCCCAGAGACTCCTCTCCACGCTTAGCTGTTGCCCACCGGCAGCAAGCAACCTCCCACCCCTGTGCTCCATCCCAAAATACTAGAACCCGAGGGCATCCAATGAAGCCGATGGGCAGTAGGTTCAGGACAGACAAAAGGAAACACTTCTTCAGACAGCGAGTGATTAAAATGTGGAATTCGCTGCCAGAGGCTGTAGTGATGGCCACAGGCAGAGACATCTTTAAATGGGGGTTAGATGGATTTATGGAAGATAGGTCTGTCATTGAGTACTAGCCATGGCGGCTAAAGGGAACTTCCATGTTCAGAGGCAGTCATCCTCTGAATCCCAGTGCCAGGAGGCCACAACCCGGGAAGGTGCTGGCCTCTATGTTCTGTTGTTGGTCCCCCAGAGGAACTGGTTGGCCACTGGGTGAGACAGGATGTTCACTGTTCTGACCTAGCAGGGCTTTTCTTATGTTATTATCCCCCCGTCCTCGATCAATGGAGCAGCAGGGTAAATAATGCAGGGACATTAGTCTGTGACACACTAGGAGCCTCCCCCAAATATCTATGGTCTTTAACACAGAGATTAGGAAAATTCATAGAGCACTCCAGATACCATGGCATCAGTAATGCTTCCCCCCTCCCTAGGCTCTGCCCTCCAAATGGTTCTGCAGAGTGATAAGGGAGGGCTGGCAACCCTAATCCTTTCCTACCTCTTCCTCCTCCTTCCTGGCCTCGCAGCCCACCTTCGGGGCCCACAACACACAGTTTGAGAGCCACTGCTTTAAGCCCTAGGTTTGCTACTGCTACCGTACAAACATGTTTGTTTTATACCAGCATTACTGTCGCAGTTTCTCTCCAAAGAATCCTTGAAACAATCAATTAAATAATAGTCTTGTTAAGAATATAAGTTTGGTCTCATTGACCTACATAGAACTACAGTTCCCAGGATTCTCTGGGAAGAGAGAAACGTTAAACCAGTTGAAGTCTGTAATGAAGGCACTCCCAAAGAGAAGTCAGTTCCCTTGCTGTGCCTCCCTTCTCCCATAATACTTGACTGAAGGGTAAGGGTTTATAGACAAGACCATGCTATGGGGAGATTGACAGAGGGGACTGAAAGCTCAGGCTGACTGTAAGATTCCCTCCCCTTAGAACAGTGGGGGGGGGGGGGGCAGGGAGCGGAAGGACTCTTATATGGGGTTAAGCCGGCACAGAGGATCCCAAGGCGCCCGTGGCCTTGGCCTGCTGTGTCAGGCACTTCAGTGGGAGGGAGCAACAGGGCAGACAGAGCGGCCCCTGCATTGTTGCCAGCCCTTTGGGGACCACAAGTCTCTGCCCACTCCAGCTCCATTATTCCCTCTGCTAGCTTCAGTGTTGCTGAGCCTCTCTCTGCTCAGAAGATGGAGATGGTGGTGTGGTGCAGGGGAAAGGAAGGCACAGAGAGCTGTAAGAGCCTTATAGCTGGAGTGGAGGGACCCGTGGCTGAGTAGCCATAGAAGAGTGGCCACGCGTTCTGCTAGTGGCTGTCATTTTTTCACCCTTCTCTCCACAGAGCTTGAGGTGGTGTAGATAGGGAGCAGGTCTGTCTGGAAGTATGTCCCATGGTGGGCATCCTCTGGCTTGTGCTGCTTAGGACCCCCGCCCTCGCTTAGTGGAGCAGCAGGAGACAAACGGGTCGGGGAGACAACATCAGAGTGTCTTGTGATGTCATTTCCCCCAGTCTCCATGCCCAAGCGCTCCCACCCATCCCCAAGTGTTCCCATTTGGCAGCCCTGGGATCTGCAGATGAGTAGACTGCAGAGAGCTTAACTCCCAGTGCTTGTTAGACGTGACAACCTCTAGGACTCTAGACTGGGGGAATTGAGAGAAGGACATGGTGTCTGTAGTTTGAGTCTCACAATTTCACAACCCTGGCGGAGGCACTTTAAGTTCCTGGGACACCAGAAGAAGCATATGAAGGCTCTGCGTGAACACCTGTGGAGCATGGATGCCTTGAACACCGAATAGGTGCGTCAGTCTAGTGGTCAGCTAGAAGTGAGTTCATCCCCCTGCCCAAAATGGGCAAGACGAGTTTAGACTAGGAGCACAAAAAACAGTTGCTTTATAGAAATGCATCAGTCTCGTGGTTGCAGAGGCATTGAAATCCTTGAAAAACATGTGGACCGTTTCTGCCGATGGGTTGGAAATGCAAGCATGCTGTGCTGGCGTTCTGCTTAGAGGGAATGATTAACAATGGGGGATTTTGAAAGATGATGCGTCCCTCCCCTGTAGTCTGAAGTGCTCCAGTCCCACCATGGCGCTCTGTCTGTCTCATGACCACATTGCTGTGTTCCTTGTGTTGCTCAGGTCAATATCTTTTAGACTTAATTGGACCTCTGCTCTCTGGGCATGATCAAGGAATGGATCATTGATGATCATGCCTTTAAAACACTACAAAAAAAGACACACATACTCGGGTTTCTGCAGTTGGAATAATTTATATTAATGTGGATGCCCCATAATGGGTGCAAAGCATAGATAGCTTAGTTGTAGTATTTTAACAGAGATTAAAAGTAAGCTTGGGGCTCTTAGAGCACTGGCTGCGTGAGGAAACAGTCTCACAAGCCCTGTTCTTTCTAGTCCAGAAGCTCAGAAAGTTATGGTGCTGTTCTGGGTCTCTGTCCGTTTAGGCACTTCTTTCCCTCAACTCCTTGTTTCCCAGCTTCTCTCACCAACTAA